GTCCGGGCCTCCCTGCTCCCCTCCGGCCTCCTCACCGAGCTGCACCCCTGGAGTCCTCATCAGTCCTCTTGTGGCCTTTCCCACGTTCGGGGGGGGCTCACAGGCTAACCCAAAGCAGCTCCAACGGCTCAGACCGTCACCCCAGACTTCAGCATCACTTTTAGAAACCAGTTTGCTTTCTCAGTTTTGCTCTGTGACTTCTGGGTTTGGCCCTTGTCTGCACCCCCATGTCACTGTCCCATCGCGGGGCTCTGGCTTCAGGAGGGGCTCTGCAGCGCAGAAGCACGTGGAGACAGCCGTTAGGGCGGCGAGACGCAGTCTCCCAACAGGGGACTTAAAGCCAGCTGGGCGCTCAGGGCAGGAAGCGAGTGGCCGAGTGGCCGGAGCAGGACCTAGAGCAGAGGCTGCACATGGCCGGGCGGGGGAGGAAGGTCGAGTTCAATCGGGGGACAAGGCCCCTCCTACTTCGGCCAGACTGCCCTGGGGCGGAGGGTTCTGCTTCCCTCTCCTGCCTCCGTCACAGCCTCCTGGGAGCCACATCCCTGGGGTGAAGCTTTCTGATAAGACCCCGCATTCAGCACGCGTCTGACAGGCTAGAGCGTAACCAAGACCCAGGAAAATTGCCCACTTGAGGGGGAGACAGCGTCCTTGACTAAGCCAGAGGGTAAGTTCATAGGAAACCCCCAAACCCGGCTTCTCTGAAGCGCGACTGGGAGGCTCGCCCCCCGCGAGCTGGGCTGTGCCGTGAGCGCCAACGCCGTGCACCCTGCGGGCCTCTGGGGCTGTCCTGACTCACTGGCGGCTAAACAACCTTATTTCTACTTAGAAATGAAGGGTTTGTGGTTACTTACAATTGCAGACACTGGGATTTGGTACAGTTACAGGGCTTTTTAGACTTTGTGTCCCATGAACTAAGGGTTACTCTACAAAGATTAAAAAGAAAACGGGTTCAGATCGGTGCTCTGCAGAAAGAGGGTCAGCTAAGCATCTGACGCTCTAACAGTTCCCGAAACTCTCAGCACCAGTGTTTGCAGACAGTGTTTGCTACTTAGGTGCCCACCCAGGGGCGGGGGGCGTGCCTGCCTGCCAGGTCCAGCTGGGGCCGCCAGGGCCTAAGGCTGTCCCCTCCCGAGAGGCCTTCCCCAGTCTCCTCCCTCTGCCTGTTTAAACCTCTCTTGTGTGTGGCCCCCACACCAAGCAGCTATTTATTGCCAGTTTTATTTTCTGTATTTTCTAAAATCTGAACACTAGTGGAAAGTGTGACTTAAAGAACAAGAGACAACCATCATCCAATCGCTGCAGCAATGTGAGGGCTGAGCCGGCAGTGAAACTCCCGCTGGGGGCTCTGCCACAGGGTCCCCCAGCAGCACCCAGAGGACCCGCAAATGCACTGCGGCTGGGAGCACCCGCTGGAAAGAGAATGAAAGCACCCTTCCCCTTGGGCGTCTGGACGCACTAGGGCATGTAGCGACGCTCCCGGGTTACAGAGAGGGTGAAGCGAGCATCTTGGGGACCCTGGCACCCCATCATGTTGCCTAACAGAAGCTGTCTGGCACCAGCAGGGGCTGCGTGTGGCTCCCATTGTTCTGTGTTGTCCAGAACTGCTCAGGGCCCTGGTGTTAGGACCAGTTACAGCAACAGCAACACACTCCTGACGCCGAACACCCGGAGGGGAGCGCGGACAGGCCCACAGCCTCACTCCACAAGTGAGCTGAGACTCGCAGGCTCACAGGCGGCACCGCGGTGCTCCAGCTGCGGAGGGAGGCAGCTGCTGCCCCGAGCCGCAGTCGCCTGGGCAACACTCCTCACAGCCACAGTCTCCAGAACCTCTCGCTGCCCGGATGGCCCTGTGCCCGTGGTGAGCACGGCAGGAGCCCCAGTCCCTGCACCGCTCGAGCTGAGCTGACCTCCTTCGGCCCGAGCACGGCTTCGGCCGCTTAGCCTGCGCGCCCCAGACTCCCGCGGGCAGGGACGGGGCGTCTCCTGGACCCAGTGCAGGCTCCGCGCGGAGAGGGCTGCCCGGCCGTGGCTGGTGCAGGAATGCCAACCGGGCTCCAGCCAGCTGGGTTAGCTTAATTAGTCACAATTACAGACGCCACTTGAAAAGGAAGCGCAGCCACAGCCACCTGGAGACCATGCCTCGGCCGGCGCCTGCCAGAGAGCGTGAGGACCGCGAGGGGAGGCGCACCGGGACCGCCGCCCCACTGCGCGCCACTAACTGCATCCACGACAGCGGACGGAAAAGAAATAGAACAGCTCACGTAAACCAACACGAAACCGTGACGGAGCCTCTGAAACCCTGACCCAGACAGGAGCAGGAGCCAACACACAGCAACACGGACCCACGCGCAGGACACGGACCCACGCACAGCAACATGGACCCACGCGCAGGACACGGACCCACGCGCAGGACACGGACCCACGTGCAGCAACACAGAACCATGCGCAGCAACACGGACCCACGCGCAGCAACACGGACCCACGCGCAGCAACACGGACCCACACACAGGACACGGACCCACGCGCAGCAACACGGACCCACGCACAGGACACGGACCCACGCGCAGCAACACAGAACCACACGCAGCAACACGGACCCACGCGCAGCAACACGGACCCACGCGCAGCAACACGGACCCACATGCAGGACACGGACCCACGCGCAGCAACACAGAACCACACGCAGCAACACGGACCCACGCACAGCAACACGGACCCACACGCAGGACACGGACCCACGCGCAGGACACGGACCCACGCGCAGCAACAGTCAGCGGCTGCTCGACGCAAACACTCAGAGCTCATGAAGGTTGCAGACAAAGCTAATTTTATAACTTAGAAGACAATCACAAATGGACCCCAGAGAGCCTCTTAAACTCAACGCGGCTGCCAGCTGCCCCTGCGCTCCTTACCCAGCCAAAGTTATTTTGGGTGGTCCCGGGAGAGCTGGTCCTGAGGGGAAGGCAGGCCCGGTGGCCACGGACGGTGCGGCTCCGTTATCCAGCTGCAGAAAGTCAAGGGGCATAGTTTGAGTTAGTGAATGTCTCCCAAGTCCCGCCAGCCTGCCCCAGCTACGGAGGCGCGGCCTTGCCCTCCTGCGGCGCAGCCACAGTCCCTTTCAGCAGTGTGCGCGCCTGTTCCCGGGTGACCCCACGAGCCCCAGCAGGCTGCAGCGGGGGAGCCTGGCCAGCGGGCGCCCATCGAGTGGCCCCGACTGCGGGACAGAGGGAAGGGTCCCCGATGCAGGACCAGGCCACCGACAAGCCGGCAGGCAGCGCACACAGTGGTCAGGCGGCCAGGACCCTGTACTGGACATCTTTCTCATTTTGTGAAATAAATTCAATGACCAATTTCTGTAACCTAGAGATGCCCATTGTTATTACATCCTCAGGACGAGAGAGCTGGACATTTGATGCCTCATTAGCAAGCATTACTTTCTCATCTATTCAGAAAACCACTTTGCAGTCAATTTAACAAATTCAAAAGCCACATCACAATCTTTGCTTTACCCACGCCCTTGGCTTTCTCAGTTCTCGTCTTTCCCTTCGTTACCAGCAGCGTGGCCGGTGGACCGCGTTCAGGGTCGGAGCCACCTGCCCACTGTTCTCCTACCAGAGCCTGAAGACACGGCAAGTGCTGGGGAAGCTAGGCCCTGAGACTGTCTGTATCACAGGTAGACATCCTGTCCTTGGCCCTCCCTCCACTGAACACTTGAAATTTAAAAATAAGTTTTATTTAAGAAGCAGAGTCAGGAAAACACCATTTTATCAACCCCCGTTTGCTCCCTTTTGCCTCTCTTTAGGTTGTGTCACCCCCGCCTGCTGGGGCTCGAGGCACCGAGAAACCGCCTGGTCCAACTCCTGCACCAACCCCGAGCCGCCCCTCAGCTCCCCAGGGCTGCTCCCCTCTGCTCCTGTTCAGGCTGAAAATTGGAGCCCCTTGATTCCTCCCACTTCCCACGTCAGCCCATCAGCAAACACTGTGGCTCAAGCTCGCAATACCCTGCGAGCTCTCAGCTGTGGTTCCCCCCCCTCCACGGCCCCCTGGTCTGAGACATTCCCACAGCTGGCTGCCCACCCTCACCCCGCCCCTCTGCGCCAGCCCCCTTTCAGGCCGAGTGACAGGCACAGTCCTTCCATCACCCCCACGTCTCCCGCTCACTCCACCCAGCGCCGCTGGCCTCCTGCTGTCTCCAGGCAGGTGGACCCTGCGCTGTGCCCCGCCTGCCTGGGCTCTTCCTCCAGGAGGCATCCACGTGGCTCCCTCCCTCCTGTCTTCCAAGACTTTGCTGAGTATCGCCTCCTCTCTCTCTCTCTCCCTCTCTCTCTCTCTCTCTCTCACTAATCCTCACCAGAGGACATATTTCCCAATGACTTT